AGATTGTTAAGATGAGTTAGCAGGTAAAAATGGCAAAACACTTTTTATTTTTATTTTTTCAGTAATTAGTATAACATCTTGGTTGCAATAGTAGAACAAATAAATGAAAGTGGGTTGGTATTGTTTGCATTTAATACAAAGTTTGGGTATTTATATGTATTTTTCAGCCTGAAAGTGTTTGAGAGATCATTGATATTTTGGATACAGCTGGGAACACCACAAAAGCAACCACGAAAGGGTTTGTCATTGGATTTGCTGCACTTGCATCTTTTCTTTTTGTTCAGTCCGCATATGGATGAGGTGGCATCATTTGCTCGGGTCTCATTTGCACATGTAGTCTTTTCATGCTGCTTTAACTTCAAAATCTTATCTTAATATATGTAATTATAATATGAGAGAGGTTTGTTATAGGTTGACATTGCTATTCCAGAAGTATTTGTGGGTAGGTTATTGGGGCTCATGCTTATCTTCCTTTACAGTGCATGGGCATGTGTTGCGGTTGATAGGACTGCCTAGGAGGTTGTCAATGAAGTAAGAAGACAGTTTATTGAGAGGCCATGCATCATGGTAGGTCCCATTCCCATTTCTTTTAACATCCTATAATGATTATGTTGTTATGTTATGTTATATAATTTAATAGGAGTACAAGGACAAACCGATTACAGGAGATGTCTTGCAATTGTGGCTGCTGCATCTCTGAAAGAGATGATAAAGCCTGGAACCTTAGCGGTTATATCACCTATATTTATTAGTGTGTTATAATGTAACAACCGTGTTTCTAGGCTAAGCATCAATATGATGATATAATAGTTAGGGTCAACAATTATAACCTATTTGATGTAATAAAGAAAATTTATATGAATATTATGTGTTTCATGCTTATTATAATATAATAAAATAGAAAAAAATCAGCCGAATCGTCTTTAAATCGTAAAATAAGTGCGTCAAAACATATATATTATTAAATATTTAGAAAGTACACGTCTTTCCGATCTCGAAAATATAAATTTTGTAGACATTCGACTCCATATGAATTAGATATGATTTTTATAAAATATAAAAGTCAGTCGCACACAAGGAATGTGTAACGTAAAAAACTACGAAGAGAACGGTTGACTTTTAGCTAATATGACCAAAATGAAAATCATAGTACTCCTTAAAATAGGAATTTTGAGAAAAGCAATGCTAAAAACGGAGTCCGTACGAGAGAGTTATGATTTTAGCAAAATAATTTAACTTTATTAAAAATAGGGACAAAAATATAAATTCAAAACTAGCCAACGGAGTCTAAACGAAAGTTGTAGATATTCTCGATAGCTACACGTGGATATAAAGAACATCAAAAACGGAGTTCGTATGAACAAGTTATAATTTTTAATAGCATATTTACGTATTAAAATAAAGTATAAATCATATATATGTATAGATATATATACATATGTATATATCATTAGAAAGGTATTAACGATGCACTCGTTATAAGACTAGTGTTGAGTACTTTCGACATTAGTTTAGTACAAATATCATTAAATCTATTTAAAATAGTTTTATAAATGAGTGTTTACTCATTTAAGTAAATATAGAGGATAGTTTTTGAAAGTTCAATTACTATAAATAAGAGCCTCTAGCCTCTCATATTTTTTTGCACCATTCTCTTGATTTAAGAGTATTTTTCTTCTTATCCCCCGAGCATTTCGGTCCCTCGTGATTCGACTTGTCTTTCTATAGTTTTTAGGATAGTAAGGTGAGCGCTGAAGCGCTACAAGAATCTTTCTTAGAAAGATTCAGCGAAGAAGCTCTGCCCCTATATAGCCTGACTCCTAGCTAAAACTCTCTTGTAAGTAAGTTACGCTTACCCTACTTTAAATATGGCTTATATATAAAATTATTATTTTAATTATGAACTTATAATAAATATTTGGACTATTATTATGACTTGTACAAGTGTCGTTATAGTATCTTTTTAACTACTCGCGGTACGGAGAATCTGGTTTGAAGGGTCGCATAGGGTTGTTGGATTTCAGAAATGCTATATGTTAAAATCGTTCTGCCCTCCGGTGTTTTATGTCTATCCCATGTCTGTACATAGTGGTTGGAAAATATTGTTTAAACGCTTATATAATAATAATAATGCTAAGACTAAAAGTTAGTCACGGTAAATATTAGACTAAAGTCTAGTGGTAATAATACTAGGTTTCGTCGAATGAAATTATATTGTTAAAAGCGAAGCGTTGACCGAGTTTGGAATCATCACTTTAACAAGTGAGTGCATAGTTACTTTCATCTTACACATAGATATGAAGTATTTTATATAAATTATGTGCTATGGGTGCATATTATCTGTTTACTTGATATTTATGCTAGATGAACATTTTTATACAAGTTTTAAATGATTTAAACTATATATGTATCTTATATCTACAAAAATGTCTAGGTAAAACATGGGTAGATGAAATAGACGATGTGCGATAAAATGATGAGAGGCATTGATGTTTACGATGATCCAGCCATCTAGCGGAGTATTGATGACGACCACAGACTATTCTAGATAGTCCAGTGGAACGCTAGCAGGCTCGAAACCTGTAGGTGTTTGTGAATGATGTGTTCACCGGTGTACTCCATCCCCCTCATGGTTGCCTTACGGAAACTTATTGTTGAGGAACCCCCTTAGTAGTAGTGTTCATCCCGATGATGATCCTTAGACTAGGTCCCTTATGATAGGTGTTTTAGGTACATAAAATGAGAATAACGGGAACGGGTAATTGGGTTGATTGATGTGATAAAACTAATAAACTATTTATTATGGGTTGAAAACCTTATGTGCTCATCAGGCTCCCAAGCCCGACCCACTCAGTTTCTTGTATTAGAGGTAGTGGTACAAGAGCATAGTTAGATGACTTGATGAGGGATTATGTATTATAGGCCAGTAAATATAAATAAATGTTGTAAATCTTATAATTTTTTATTTATGCTTTTGATCTGTATCGAACATGACATCCCGAGTTTTAATATAATGAAATATATTTCTTCGGAAATGCTTTGAAAAATCTTTATCATATTTTCTTTTGAGAACAAATTCCGCAACACTTTTCTTTAAAATGTTACTTTGATTTTCAAACAAAGCATAAACAAATCGGTATTCTCTGGTTGTGAAATGAGGATGTCACACGTAACTTGTATCTTTATTTTATATATAACTATTATACAAAAATATATATCTCCTATAACTTTTTTATTTTTTATGAAGGGATTATGTTTCGAATATTAGGTTACTATACAGGGGACCGCTAGGGGCAAAAATAGTGGCATCCATGTTAATATTTTCCTTTCGGTTTAGGCTTTAGGAAAAGGGCAGTCCTTGATGGCAATGATGCGGAGTACTCTAAACAACGTGGCCCAATGAGTCAACCGGTAAGAAAACCCCTCTTCGTGTCTTTTTTAGTCTTTCGTTGTGGTTTTCACATTGTAGACCCTCAAAATCAATTTCATGCAAGTGTTCGAATCTTTGTCCACCTTCAAATTTATCAGGTAATTCACCTTAAAATATTCATTTTTTATTACAAAATCAACCATAATATTATTTATAAATTTATGTAGAATATACTAATCTGATCATATTACCTCTGGTCTCACCTATCGTGGCTTTTTTGAAGAACTTTTGCTACTCTTCAAGGTCGACTGCTTTAAGAAAAAAAATATATATTTGTAGAATTTTTTGATCGAGTCATAAATGATTAGAAATGTGCGAACAAATAGCATATTGGCATGTATTTATACATACAAAGGGTCACCGGGTATGACTATCTAAAGTTGAAATTCAGGCAACAGATTTGGGGTTTGTAAATTTTATTATTTAAAACATTCTTTTGTAGTCATAGATTAAATTGGTTGACTTTGGTTTAGTGGATACAAGTCGATTAACATTGGCACCCATTTTTTCGTTTTACACAACATTCAATGGGTTTTAAAGTATTTTTAGTTTAAATTTTTATGTTTATCTTCTTTTCTTTGTGCAAGTATTTTGCTAAAGGAGTGGAGAAAATAAGATGTTGTCGTAAACTTATCAACAAAAATACATTGTTATTTCATGCATTTAACCTATTTTGCTTGCTTTGTTTGTTTGTAATATTAGATGAGTAGGTGGATTTTACTGACCCATGTGAACTGAATAATTGTTGCACTTAAATAATTAACCTTGATTTTGTTGTGTGGTCGGTTTGTTTTTCTATGTATTATCTTAAAAACTATTATGGTGCAGTCTTTATATTCACTCCAAATTACTACGTAATCCTTTCTATCAATAACAATCACGAAATAGCAAAAATGATCGGAGTTGTCCAAATTCATACCCCGCAAAGCGGGGTTCCTCGTCTAGTTTCAAATGACAATACAAGTGTTAAGCCGGTCATTGTGAAATTGGTGATCATTTGTTTAAAATAAATAGTTATTTTATGGCAAATTATAAACTATTAAGCGACAGCGAGTTAGATTTTTCTTTTTCTCTTTTATATCTTATTTGTAAGCATATATTTGAAATTAAGCCACATTGTGATTACTACGTCCGCTTGTCAAAAACCCAAGTTAGTATTATTTGAATGGAATATTGATAACATTTAGGTCTTTTGTATAAACAAGTTGAGGGCATTTATGTCTTTTTCATAAGCAAGAGATCAAGAGCTGGTTTTGTCCGCCCTAGTTCCATCTTTTCGTATGTCCTACCGACATTTCCAAGTCTATTGACAACACATTACAAGTTTACATCTATCGTATCATATCATGTCATCTCATATCATTTCATATTCTACTTGTTCAGTGTATAACACGTAAAACATGAAAATAAAGTAAAAGATAGCATTTCTACTACACATCCATCATCAATTATGCGAGCAATTAGTAAAATGAAATAACATAAAATCTCACTATGAATGAATATAAACATAAAGATTCATGCTCTTTTCACTGCAAATCCTAGAGTTGTTGCATAAGGATATCCTCATTCCTCAATCATCTACACTAATGTACATTGTGTTAAACAATACATGAACAAAACGAGGGCAGATTACAAAACACGGAGCTATCAAAATAACTTGCAATTTCATTTTCAATTTTCAAGGTTGAGTTCATAATCATCATAACTGAGTACCTCTTTTCATACTAAGCAGGAACAGCTTCAACAATCCTTGAAAAATAAAACTGTGTGGTAGTGAGGCCCCTCTTTCTTATTTTCCACCCAACTTTTTGCAATGCACGCTCTATATCAGCTTCGGAATGAAGATATGCTCTTGTTGCCTTTGAAGGTCCTGGAAAAAGCTCTCCGATTCTCTTCAGAAGATCATAATACAATGTTTTGGGTGCAAAACTGAGTATTAATCGGTTTTCTGCAAGTGATGCAAGGTGTGCAATCATCCCATCTGCCTTGTTTTGTGGGTAATGGATTAATACATCCAGACATACTACTGTATCATACTTCCCATTTAAGCTTTCCAAATCACTCACTTCAAATTTGGGCATCTGTAGATCATCTTTACCCTGTAATTCTCCTGTTGCCTAGACGAGGATTTACTATTTAGTATCAGTTATCAATCAAGGAGGAGATAAGATGAAGTGAAAAGGGAGGGGTGAAGTGATCAATTAACCTTTTTCTGAGCTTCCGAAACCATGGAAGATGAAATATCACTAGCTGAAACAATGGCGCCTTCTTTGGCTAACGGGATAGAGAGCAATCCGGTACCACATCCTGCATCGCAGACAGTAACGCCTCGTAGCGAACCTTCATCTGTCAACATTTTCATCACATTTTCCACAGTCTTCGCGTGTCCAATTCGTATATCTAATTGAACCTTATTCACATCATCGGTGTCTCCGTATATCTTCTTCCACCTCTGAAACCCGTCGTTAGTGAAATACTCCCTCACGACTTCCTTATCACCACCGCCAACCTCCTCCGCCTGTAACTGCCGGCGCTTCTCTGGGTCCGCGAGTGAAATTGCGGCGGCGATTGCTGCGACTGAGCCGCCTCCGATGACGGCCAGTGTTGTTCCGTCAAATGTGTCGGCTCCTAGTGCGGATACAGTTAGGGTTCTTCGATTGTTTAGTTTGTAGGATTTAGGATTAGGATTGGAGAATTGGGTGGTGGTGAAAGAGACATTGTGGGAGAAAAGGGCGGAGGAGTACGCCATTTTTGTAACTCCGATAGACCGGCGGGAGAATTGAGTCAACGTGAAGACTGAAGTGTTGGATGTGTGGGTGAGTTGATAACGCAATCGGCAATCCATAAACAAAGGATAGGATAGGCCACTCGGTGACGTGGACTCCTTGACTTGTCGAAAAATAAAAAATGTTAACGTGTAATATTTGGTGAAATATGTATTTTTTTTTTTAATTTCTTACTTATCTCTAAAAAAAATACTTTTATTTTTGTACATTGACATTTATTGGTTTGAAGATGAACGGTTTGAGATTTTACATGTGGAAACTCCAGGAATCAAACAAAAAATACAATTATATCAAATGGATTCATTATGTTTTACCAAATGAATAACATATAAGACCTTGCGGTATATATTTCACGAAGCAATCTATGGTCTAGCTGGCCACAAAAAAATTTCGTGCACACCACCCCGACATTCCGTGGTCGGGCGTGGTTGTGCTCTTCCGTGCTCACGACGACGAAATCAAACGGAGAACATGATTGATTGTGGGTTTATTTGGCCGTTGAACGGCTATTTTGACCTTTTTTTTTCAAACTCAATTCACTATATAAATAAACCTTCTATTTTCACTAAAACTTACACCTCATTCTAATCTTCATTCTCTACAACCAAAAAACACATATACATGGATTCCACAAGACATATTGAATTTCTACAAACTTTTAACTCTGATGACGACGTAGAATTCGTCGACACATTTTTCAACGTTGTGCAACACATTCACGATCAAGAAAGTTCGAATGCAGCTCGTACAAGGGCGGTCGTCAATCGTGATCGCCAAGCCGCACACGACTTATTGGTACGTGACTACTTTGTCGATAATTATCTTTATAATGACGACTCCTTCGAACGTCGTTTTCGTTTGAATAAGGCTATATTTTTACGTATTAGTAATGCTTTAGAATCTCGTTATGATTTTTTCAAATAAAAACCTGACGCTAGATGAACAATGGGTTTTAGTAGTATACAAAAATGTGCGGCTGCTCTTAGGTATTTGGGATACGGTATAGCATTCGATGCTTTTGACGAATACTTGAAAGTATCTGAGAGGACCGCCGTTGAATGTGTAGATTGGTTTTCTGCATGTGTTTATGAGGTTTTTCACAAAGAATATTTGCGCAAACCTACTCAACGTGATATTGAGAGATTATACTCGGCTCATGAAGAGAGGCATGGATTTCCGGGTATGCTTGGCAGTCTAGATTGTACGCATGTGGCTTGGGAAAAATGTCCAACTGCATGGCGTGGTCAGTTCACTCGAGGAGATATAGGTGAACCAACTATCATCCTGGTTGCTATTGCATCTCAAGATTTATGGATATAGCATGCCTTTTTTGGAGTAGCAGGGTCTAACAACGATCTTAATGTTCTTGGCCAGTCTTCACTTTTTAACGATATTTGGACCGGCAAAGCACCTGATATGACGTTCACGGTGAACGGGCACGCATACAAATACGGTTACTACCTTGGTGATGGGATATACCCGGATTATTCTACATTGATGAAGGCATACTCGGTTCCTCAAAGTGAAAAGGCAAAGTTTTTTACAAAAAAACAGGAATCGGCGAGAAAGGATATCGAGAGGGTATTTGGAGTCCTTAAGCAGATGTGACATGTAGTGAAATATGCTACACGACTTTGGGATAAAGAGAGAATTAAACAAATGGTCCTAGCATGTATTATAATGCATAATATGATTATCGAAGATGAAGGTCGAGCGATTTGCACGTATGATCCGAACGACGTTGTCGTTCCAATTGAGGAGTTCGTACCGGGAACGAATGCGTTTTTAAAGCGAGTTGTTGAAATTCATAACAGTGAAACGTGTTTCAATCTTCGAGAAGATGTCGCAGAACATTTGTACTAACATAGCATGAACGACGATTAGGTTTTTTATATGTATGTTTATTTGTTTATTTAATTAATGTAATTTTTTTTTTCTAAATTAACTAAGTAATATAATTTGAAGTTGTAATTTTATTTTTATAATTAATGAAACACTAGTTTAAAAAAAATGAATGCTTTTTAATTATAAAAAATGTAATTTTATTGTATTTTTGAATTAAAAATAAATAAAAATAATGATGTGGAGTGGTGTGTTAGTGGTATGTATCTCATGTTAGTGGTAAATGATTGTGGTGTTGATGTGACACCCATTACATATGTGGTATGTGGTATGTATAACGGATGGCCTAAGTATCCGTTTAGATTATAAATTCTATCCGACCTTAAAATGAGATGATATATTTATATTGAATATTAAAAAGGAGACTAAATTAATAAGAAATTACTCATAATAATATGATATTGAAAATGGTGATTTATAAAGAGGGGTGTTTAGTTGTTTTAAAAAAGGATTAAATATATTTTTTCAATTTTTACTATGTGTTTAAAACAAAAATAAACACATTTATTGGTTATAATTTGTGTGATTAAACTAAATTAAATACGTTTTTTTGGTTATAATTTGTGTGATTAATCTGAGTTACATAACGAAGAACAGTACAGTTTGTAAGTATAAAGTCACATCAATAATCATAATGGTAACAATTTGATAATATATTTATATTTCCGATATTATTCTATTATTTTATGTTATGTTTTGATGATAAAACAAAAGGTGCTTAATATGCTATCAATTATTATTTTAGAGATATTGTAAGTTGTTGGAGCGAAATGAAGCAAAAAGGTGGAACACGAAGTTTGAATGCAAAGATACAAGAGCATGCTTAAAACTAAAAAGCGAATACACTTCATTACTAAACATGACGTGTCCCGGACGGGAATGACTCAGAGGGCACGTGACAAACCACTTAGCCGCGACGAGAATTATACCTTATTTTGACGCGTTTTTCTACTGGAGTCTATAAAAAGATGTGAAAATTGAAAGATCTTAATTTATGCCAAGATATATTGTGAAAATTGAAAGATCTTAATTTATGCCAAGATATATTATAGAATGATATTACTGGATAATGTATCCTAAAGTGTGATACTAACGACAACTTGATATAAATGTATTATTTATAGGTATTTGATTCTTAATAAATAAATATATGCCTTGTAATTAATCGAAAATTATTTATTTCATTTAATATCAATTTTCAATATTAAGTATCATAATATATCATAAGATATGATTCATTATGTCATGTACATCTTTTTAGACTAAAATGACTTTTGTATTTCAACTAATTGGATGAGGGTTTTAACCTATAAAAGCATGAGAGATTTTAGAAATATATATATATATATATATATATATATATATATATATATATATATATATATATATATATATCTTTTATTCATTAAAGCCTAGCATCCATGGAGGACAGTGAAGACTTGCTTTTGATTAATTTATTCAACACGACATACTCTTAGAAAGCATAACTAGTTGATTTGATGAATCATGGGTCTTAAAGGTTAAGACTCATGTGATAAAGGCATAAAGTTAAGAGCATATAAACTAGTTATCTTTCTTCCTTCCTTGACTAAGCCAAAACCACAAAATTTGGTGCTTCTCATCTTTATATTCTCTTTAGTTTTGTCTCTTAAAGGGTTAAGAACATAAATATGAAGATGATACTTGAATACTCTCTTTTAAGGCAAACCAGTTTCTTTGTCTTTAAGAGATTAAGAGATTATTTTATTACAAGAAGAAGATTAGCATCTTATCAATATGGAGAATTATTGGTGTTTCTAACCAACGTGGAGTTCTATTATACATTCTTCATCAAATTTCAATCACCCATGAGAATCAAAGTCTTCAAAGGTTGTAAACGTTTTCCTTCTTATGGTTGTGTTTTAATATTTCTAAGATTTGCAAAATGATCATTGGTGGGTTAAAATGGTTTTAATTTATTCAAATTCGAAAATGTTTTCATTGCTAATTACGTCGAATTTTTCACTATAATTAGGCTGTTTTGAATAAAAACCCAACAATCGGTATCAGAGCCATTTTTGCAAGCTTGGTTAGATTATTTGATAAGTTGATATTATCTTTGTTTTTGGAAAACATTGATGGTTTCTTTTTGCAAGAGAATTTATACATATTTTCTATGACAACTTTAAAATATTTATAATTGTTATTTTTATGACTTGAAGTTTACATGCATCATTTTAGTCTGCATAACTAGCCATGAACCCTTGTGTTGTTGCATGTGTTGTAACGACCCAAAAATATAGTCCAAAATTTTCATTTTTAATTTAAGTAAAACAATATTCCAAATCATCAACCATACATCCCAAATAAAACAAATGTATCAAATATTATAAAATCAGAGTGAAAAATCAAGTGCGGAATCCATATGGTGTATGCAATGCAGTCATCCTGAGCTCTTCCCCTTGGGGCCTGAAACATAAACTGGAAATCGTAAGCGTAAAGCTTACTGAGCTCCCCAAATTACCCCATACCATACATAAAAAAATCACATACTGGGCCCCCGCCCTACATTGTGCCCGGCCCGGCATCGAGCCTCGCCTAGTTTATAGATTTGTTATCCTCAGGCTTCGCCTGTCACTGGGTGTAACATCCCAAAAATACACTCCGAAAATTTCTTTTAAAAATCATTAATAAAACTATAATTATCAAATCATATCACTCATAAACAAAAGTCGTTATATCAAATCAGAGTATCATCTCAAAACATGTTCTTTTTATCAGAGTAAGACATCCTATGCTAAAACTTCTTGGTGTGTGCCATGCAGTCATCCTTAGTTCGTCCCTCCGCTCCTCGAAGTACCTGAAACCAAGACTGAAAACCATAAGCACGAAGCTTAATGAGCTCCCCAATGTACCACATATCATACACATAAGCATGTATACTGGGCCCATGCTCGCTGCATCGGGACTTGTCCGGCATCGGACTTGCTCTGGTATCGGGCCACGCCTGGCATTGAGCCCCGCTCAGTATACATATGTTTCTACTAGGCCCTGCCTGTCTCCGGGCCCCGCCCGCTATACACATACAAACATATAATCATAATCAAACTAATACATAACAAGCAAACACAACACTATAACTGTTGGTCTCAAGGCCCCACCTATATTGGGCTCCGCCCCTACTGTAACGCCCGTAGATCCGGGCTAGTCAATTAGAGACGTTAAGCGTCAAAAATGACTTTTTTATGGAAGATTATTTTGA